TGCCGGCGAAACGTTTGAGAATGTACCAAGTCCACTGTCTGATGCTGGGAATCATGACAACTACTATTGCGGACGACTTCGGACTAGGTGCGTTCTACTAAGTCACCCTGACAACAAGTCCAAGTTGCGACAACGAGGTCAACCCACTTCTATAAATTGAAAGGAAACTGCGACCATACCATAGGCCACAACACCTTGGTCTTCATATCTTTAATTACTCTACATGCTTGCATATTCATGAAGTTAATTCATGAATAGGAAGTGTTATGGTAGCAGCTGTTTCATTAGATAAATAAATTAGTATACGATTATCTAAGTTGACTCATGTTTAGATACGAGCTATTGTCTTTTGTAATTAGTGTTCATGTAATGAGAGGTATGATAGCCTTAACCAGACTCGATGCTATTTTAACCTTCTTCTCTCATGTAAAGTCGTGTAAAGTCATGTCACTCGGGTAAGCTATCACATTCAAGATAAGCCATGCTCGCCTCATATTATATTGAGAATACCTTTTAGGAAGCACGGCTATGTGAAATTCATTGGAAAAACGAGGCCTATTTCTACAATTGGGATAAAATTCAACTACCAGTCCCTTATCACCTTAATAGCCAGATTTATTGAAAGTCTTGAAAACCTATTTATGAAATGAAAAAATTAAATAGTTGGCGACTAACCTTTGGCTTTATAGCACTTTTGACTTTAGGCCGTAAAAAATAATTGAAGTTCCTTCATGAAATCGCCACAATGCATAGTAACACCTCATTGTTCTGACTGCGTGAGTATCCCTCTATATCTACATATCTATATCTATATACATACATATATACGTATGTGTGCGTGTGTGCGTCCTCCAAAAACTGATGCGGGGAAGACCCACCTGGTGTAGAGCTGATATGACAATCACGCAACCCGTTGCCTCGCTTCGGCATGTCATCTCGCTCCATGGCCATCAGCCAGTGGTAAAACGGATATCGGCTGCCCTGGCCAGCCGTCATGCGGTGCTCGAATATGCAGCGAAAAGCTCGTTGAATCGAGTCGTCCAAGGGCGCCGCCTGTACGAGAGTGCGCGGCAGAAAGTAGGGTCCTGCGTAGAGAAGACGCGCAAACAACTCCATCTCTGGTAGATGCTCCTCGAACACATGACGTTCGTAGGCGACGCGCAGCAGGCGACGATCGTCGTCGGCTTGACGCTTTGGCTTGATGTCGACATTACAGAGGGCGCATCTTGATGGACCCGATTCGGCTCCGTGGGTCGAGACCAGATGCAGCTGGAGCTCTCGGGGCGTATTGAACAATCGGCCCTGGCAGATGATGCAAATGAATGGACTTCCCGATTTGTTCATGTGACCCATCTCCTGGCGTAGATGATTCAGCATCTAAATCCTCGGTGCAGCATAAACACAATAATTTTACTACATTATGACCTTTAGTAGTGATCTTTCTTTTAAACCCTATGGCTGAAACAAGAGGCTCCAGGTTTG